CGCCACCAACCACCGACACCACCACGACGACGACAGCGACGGCGGGGACCCGTTCGCGTTCCTCTCGGAGGACCGGCCGCCGCGGGACCGGGGGCCGTCCCCGGCCGACCCGTTCCGCAACGGCACGCCGGCGTGGGGCGGCGGCGCGTACGCGTGGGCGAGGACGCTGCTGCTCCTACCGGTCGCGGCGGTGCGGCTGGCGCTGTTCGGGCTCGCCATCGCGATCGGGTACGCGGCCACGTGGGTGGCTCTCCGCGGGTGGGTGGACACGCGCGGGAGGCCGCGGGAGGGTGGCGGGCCTATGCCGGCGTGGCGCCGCCGGCTCATGTGGATCACGCGGATCTCCGCCCGCTGCATCCTCTTCTCATTCGGGTGAGTTGCTCATTTGCTGGATCACTAAACGCGGTTAAATGCTTGGATTGGGTCTGGATCGTAAACTCGGTCTCGTTTTGATTTGATCTAATCTGGCACCTAATAATCGCTTTAATTTCCGGCAACCTGTCCTTTTTAAAAATAATAATAATAGATGATTAGATTTGTGTGGCGAGATGGGGCTTTCTAATCCTGTGTGTGTCCATGACGCGATTGTGCGATGCGGGTTGGTTTGCTGGATTTGGAGGGCTGCGGATTCGCAACACGCGCGGTTTTGTTGGGAGCCCCTCAATGATGTGGTTGGTGGGACGATGCTGTGGCGGAAGCTGAATGTCCGTGCCGCAGATGTGTTTATGGCGTGTTGAAGCTGACCTGCATGAATTGCAGCTTTGAAGAGACCAATAGGAAACGAACGGGCTAGAAACCGCTGTTGGACCATTCGTACATGCGTTCAGCTAGCTTACAACGTCTGGAACTGAAGAGCGAAAACGTGTGCACAGTTTAAACTGAGATGCCATGTGCATGTGCATGCTGAAATGAACTGTGGGGTACTGGGGTGTGTACCATGTCACAAATGGGGATTTCTCCTGTGGTCCTTCCATAGTTCCATCCATTGCATTGATTTCAATAGCCCCGAATGGTGAGCAATTTCTCTATCCTGAAAATCAATAGCCCCAAATGGTGAGCAGTTTCTCTACACTGAAAATATAGCAAAGGAAAAAACAGACGTGCCTATGGCGTTGTTTGTGTGTTAGGCTTTCAGAATCGCACAGCAATAACAAGCATTTGATTCAAAACTTTAGAGTATAGACAATGAGTGTCATCTTCTTTTGCTACATGTATTTACTTTCAAAACTTAGTTTTCTTCTGGCCATGGAATTTCTTTGTGCGCCGCTTCTTTTGCGCTTGTTTACGCTGAGTTGATCTGAGTATTTGGATGCTTACGCTTTCTCAGTCTCTCTCTTCTTGTGATGCTAGTGTACACTGTCTGATTTTAGTCGGGCACTCACTTTCTTCTTATCAGGTACCACTGGATCAGAAAGAGAGGAAGGCCCGCTCCTAGGGAACTCGCACCTATTGTTGTTTCCAATCATATCTCGTATATAGAACCCATATTCTTCTTCTATGAATTGTTCCCAACCATTGTTTCGTCCGAGTCTCATGATGCCCTACCATTTGTTGGAACAATTATTCGAGCGATGCAGGTGTGTATGTTTCCATTTTCCTATAATAGCGTCTAAATTTCCAAGTTTCTTCTCAGACAGCCTTTTCCAGGTTATATATGTTGATAGATTCTCACCAGCTTCTCGGAAGGCTGCTGTAAATGAAATAAAGGTAAGAACGGCTCCTCTCATACCCATAGCTTCTCATCTTTTTATAATTAGATGTTGCGATGACTTGGTTGGCTTTAAAAGCATTGTATTGTATTTTGTCACATGTTAGCACCCCATTGCTTTATGTAACCTGTAAGTTATTGAATTTGGTTGCTCTACATTGACTTAATATATGGAAAAAGTAACAAGCAGAAAAGGACAACTACAAGCTACTCCTTGCAGTTGCCTGCTTTACAGATCTTTTAATTTTATTTGCAGCAGACCGTTGATTCTAAAATCAACACCAACCAAATTATCCTAGAATAACATGTTTTGCCTTTTAGTTATTTCTTCATATGGTACATACTCTCTAGGATGTCCTTTCAGAGAAAGGCAGCTTGCAATAGCTTCTCGTGGGTTCTATTATTCCCTGAAGGCACCACAACAAATGGGAGATTCCTGATTTCGTTCCAACATGGCGCATTCATACCTGGCTACCCTGTTCAACCTGTTGTTGTACGTTATCCACATGTTCACTTTGATCAATCATGGTGAGCTTTCTCTATGGATATTCTTTTCGATGTACATTCATCTTTGTACCTCAACATTTTTTAAATTTTATCTATACAATGTTTTGTGTTTCAGGGGGAATATATCGTTATTAAAGCTCATGTTCAAGATGTTCACCCAGTTTCATAATTTCATGGAGGTATGCATGGCCTGCTGAATTTGGCCTAACAAATGTCTGAACTATTATGTCTTTTTTGCACTTGTGTCTTGCAAAATTAGCTCATCTCATTGATCATCTAATAATATACAGGTAGAGTACCTTCCTGTTGTCTACCCTCCTGAGATCAAGCAAGAGAATGCCCTTCATTTTGCGGAGGATGTAAGTATGCTCAACTCAAATAAATTTCTCATCTAACATCCTGTGCTTTTCACTAGGGGTGTGATAATATGTTCTCCCTACAACTTTTTATTCTTGCAGACCAGCTATGCTATGGCTCGCGCCCTCAATGTCATGCCGACTTCCTATTCATATGGTGATTCTATGATTATGGCACGAGCAGTAGAAGCTGGAAAGGTAAAAAGGGTAGCTATGCATAACTATGAATTCCCGAACAATTGCTCTGACCCTTTTTTGCTAGAACATCTGCCATCCCTCTAAAAGGAAATATGCCTCTAATAAGCTTTCTATTTGCAGGTGAACTGCTCAAATTACATGGTAGAAATGGCTTGGGTTAAAGATGTAAGTTTTTCCTGAACTACATTGTTTACATGTGTTTGCAGTATGCAGATGCTGCTGCTGTCAAAATCCATCAGGCAATAAAAAGTAGATTATGCTGAATTATTCCTACAAGAATCGCTAGTTATGCATTAGTGTACTTGTATGTAGTGTGCCAATTCCTTTATCACAACCAACCGTTGAATGAAGCATTGTATTGTTATGCCTTTCAGATTTATGGTGTAAGTACAGCAGAAGCAATGGAACTATTGGAACATTTCCTGGCTATGAATCCAGATAACGAGTAAGACTCCTCATTCTTAATGGAGAACTTCCATCAAGCTTTACTTAGTCTATGTTATTCTATTGTTTCATGGTTACTTTATAAATAACGCCATTTAAACATTGCAGTGGACGTGTGAAAGCACAAGATTTTTGGGCCCATTTTGGTCTGGATTGCAGTCCTCTGTGCAAGAAGGTACTAATGCAGTATCTACAAATGCTATTAGCTTAACTGGATTCCCTCTTTGCTGAACTTCTAACTCTTTTTCCAGATATTTCACTACTTTGATCTAGGCATTAAGGAATCGATTACGTTCCGTCAGGTATGGACCTTAATTCAATTGAATTTTACATCTGCCTTGGCGCTTCGCAGTTTTTACATACGACACCAAGGATACTGTAATGCATTGGTACTTTATATTTCATTAGTGCTAAGGTTTCTAGGTGTACCATGTCTGCAGTTCTTGGTTGGTTGCGCGCACCTGAGGAAGCAGCCATTGTTCCAGGGTGCCTGCAAGACCGCCTTTGAGAAGTGCCGGGATCCTGAAACATCTGAGATCTCCAGGGCACAGCTAACTGATGTCCTGCGGTTAAGCATGCTGCTGCCGTCTGATGATAAGGTAAAATCCCCATTGCCCCTCTGCTACAACACGTAACGCTGTTTCACCACCATGATGTCATACTCATCTGACCATGTAACCTTTGACAGATGCTGGAGCTGTTCAAGACGTTCGACATAGATGGCGGCGAAAAGATCAGCAAGGACGACTTCATGACATGTCTTGGGAAGTTCCGTTCCTGATTGCGTTCTTTGCAGCCCCGATCAATGGGGAAGTGTACATCGAGATAGTCTGAACGCCTGAGGCAAGGCGATGCTGTGTAAGAATAAAGGCTGGAGCTGCCAGTGCCAGGCGCAAGCAGGGGATCCCTCCGTTTATGCAATGGGATACCCACCGGGGCTCCTCCACTTTGAAACAAAACCACCCTTAGTGTTGGGTTGCATCAAGTGGCTGACCAGTATAGTGCGTCGATTTTGATTAGTTGCTTCGTTCAAATTATTATACTGTCATTACGGAAATCTGTTGTGAGATACGCGCTGGACTAGTAGGTTGTCGATGGAACTGAGAATGCACATAGAAAGCATCTGTAATCTGAACTGTAAGAAAACATTTTTGGACAAACAAGACTCTGTAACCTTAAGCTGTCTTCATTCTTGTTAGCTGTAGCACTTCGGCGAGTTGAACGTCGTTTCGCAACTTTTTGATCCCTCCATTTCAAATCAAAGTTATTTTGTCTGTTTGACTTTTCCAAATACAAACTGTGTATTTAAGACGTAACATATGTCTGGATACATAACTTTTTAGAAAAGCCAAAACGACTTCAATTTAATTTTGTTATGTTCCTATGAAAGCCAAAACGACTTAAACAGTTTAATCTCGTTATGTTCCAAGACAAGCCTCTCACTAGCAGCTCACAGCGGATGAAAATGGATGTACATACTTGCATTGCGATTAATGAACGAACAGAATCAATCGATTGCACAGGGAGACGAATAAAATCACATTGCACGGGCTATTGATGAAATCACATTGCATGGGGCCATCACTTTGACAGCATCTGTTTCTCCGCTTTATTCGCTGAGGTTATTTACATGCATCAGAGAACAAAGTAAAACCAAAGAAGCTCAAATGGGGGATGGCTCAAGGTGACTAAACGCAGACACTGCCTCCGCAAAAGAAACCATTTCTTTACAGTATAATGCGTCTCTTATCTCTCTTTTTTCTACTACTTTTCTGTTGAAGGTATTTTTACATCACAATGCACCTCTCTTTCTTCGATTCACTTCTCGACGGAGGTGGGACGTTGGACCTCTGAAAGGATGAGCACAATGTTCAGACCCATCAGTCATCAGCAACAGAAGTAGTAAGCAGTCATCAGGAAACATGACGTGAACAGTACAAGAATAGGACCAAGAGAGCCCATGCGATGCTCACAACCAGGTTCAAAACATGATCAAGAACTGAGCACAAGAGAGCCCATGCGATGCTCACAACCAGGTTCAAAACATGATCAAGAACTGAACACATGTTTGGTAAACTGGCACCTTCAATTTAAAGAGATGCTTCGAACAAAACACATATCTTTTTGTCTATTATAGCAAACTAAAGTGACCATGCATTCAACCTCTTTGTATGCTCTCTCACACAAAACCATCACTTCTACCTGTTTAGGGGCATGAAGTAACCATTCATTGTTGGTATTAAGTGTACTGAGGGAAAACAGGTGACTTTCGCAAGTGAATCTTTAAAGACTAACGTACTGGTTTGAATACAGTAGCTATTTAGGATTCAAAACCAGGCAAACATGGTTATTTCAAGACAATAGATTGCAGTCATATTTGAATCCAAACTATAAGGATCATCCCAAACAGCAAGTTGATAAATGTTATGTGGTAATGTGAAATGAGGTTTTGATGGCGGTACAAGTAATACAAAGAAAACGTACCCTTTGACCACCAACAAGTCCTGGTCGGCCAGATTGAGTCGGTTGGTGCTGCGTCTGAGGTGGTTGTTGCTGTTGTTGCTGCTGCTGGGGTGGTGGAGCTTGAAACCTTTGTGGTTGCCGCTCAAACTCTTGCTGTTGAAGTGCTATAGCTAGCTCCAGATCAGAGCTGCAAGCATAGGAGGACCAATGTGGTAGCGTTAGAATTTAGGTAACACATGCAAAGTGACTCAGGAGTGCACATCTATGATGATTCAGCACGTTGAGCACATTCAAAATCACAGTAAGCCATATATTGGTCATTCAAGTACATGCTAAGCCGACAGTCCAATACACAATGACAACAAAACCATCAAACAGTCGAAGTTCAAGAAAGTTATGGCGCTTGGTTAACAGCAACAATCAACAGATCAGAAAAGAAACTATAGCTTCAACTAGCATATCATTTATAGCCCTACTGACGGACATTTTCTGCACAGTACCATTCCATACAAGATTCACATGGTTGAAGAAATCCAAACTAGAAATGTTGTACACACACACAACAATAAAGCACATTGAGAAAAAAACAGGTAGGAAGAACATACTTTCCAGAAGTGTTGTCAAATTGAGCAAGATAATCCTGTGAACAAAGATAAATTTGAATTAGTTAACATTAATGTACCTAATAAAAACTACAGCAGTTTATTGATGTTATACATACAGCAGTACTCGTCATAGCTTGCTGTTCATTCCATGAATCATTTCTTGGAGTTTCAGCCTTAAATGGTGTGAAGTTGCTGGTAAGAAAAACCCCATCTCCATTCACCTAATGATTGTCAGTTGAGAATGAAAAAGATCAGTAAAGATTTTGATCTCAAGCGAGAATTAAAATAATCACAGAAGGAGTTAACATACCTCATCCAACCTTTGCCATACCAAATCAGTTTGGCTTATAAAACCTTGATCAGTTGCTAGGAGATATAGACTTCCGTTGTACTGCAGAATAATTATAGATAAGAAATAAAGACAGCTCCAGTTCAAGTACTCAAATACTGACAAAACTAGTATACCTTGAACATAGTGTTGAAGTGGTTATTACGGAAGAAGACACAAAGCTCACTTTCGTTAAGTCCCTCTTGTAAATGTAAGAGACTGCGACAATGAAATTTGACAATGTGATAAATGAGAATACAATTGAGAACATGTATTTAAACCATAGATTATTAGAAATATACCCATAGACAGTCAGCTGGTTAGCAGTGGTCTGCAGAAAATTATCAATCAGCTCCCCTGAAAATAAATCAATTTAAGTGTGAAGCTAAATATAGTAATTCTTGCATTATACAAAGAGATTCACGCATGTACAAAAGTCAATAACAAAAGAAAAAAAAAAATCTCACATTGATGTTCTGTGGCCTTGTCATCCACGGAAGGGCTGCTTTCCCAGTCTTGTCAGCCTGCTCAGCAAGAACCACCTCCCCTCGTGACACTCGGCTCTTGATTTTCATACACCATATTTGTGGTGCCAAGTACGTGCTCTTCACCTTGGTATATTGGTTCACATTCCTGAATGCTTGAAGGTCGAGGCTCAGATTTATCTAAAGAATCACTTTTCACATCCAGTTCTGTTGTAGCATGACCTGGAACAGCTCCACAAGTTGCAACTGACGAGTCACAAGCAGCCTCAGTATCATTAGACTGGCCATGAATTTGTACATCAAACTGTTCTCTGCAGGTTTCTTTATCACCTTCAACAAGAGTAGGAACAGCAGGTTGGTGATCACTGGTAGCAAAGGATTCATGAGACGGACAAGAGGGAGTAGATTCTGAAGATTGAACGGGTATATCAAGGTCCCCTGGTAACATATTCTTTATTTCACTGTCCTCTGGTTCTTTAGATGTCAAAGTTTCTTGGGATTCTTCAGGCACAACTTCACTGCCATTAACAGCACCATTTGTGAGCATGGAGCCATCATCACTCACAGCGTGATCGCCATGTTCCTCTTTTGCTGCCCCCACCACCTCAGGTGCTTCTGACTGAAAACTCTCACTTTGTGGTGTCTCCATGTTGGACGATGAATGACTATGTGAAGTGTCAAAAGAAACTTCTCCATCAACTGCATCCCCACTTTCAGCTTTGGATAGATTGAGGACCCTCATCAGTTCCTCTTCTTCCTCAAGGTCACCTCGCCTTTTATGTGTTTCAGTTGAGTTTGAGAGAGTAAGTTCATCAAATGATCTCCCACAAGAAACACTGGGAGACGGAATCTTTAAAGCTGCAGTTGTCGCGGCAGCAAAATCAACAGTTTCTTCCTCCACATGTTTATTTTCTTCTGTTGGTTTACCTGACTTGAATTCAGCAAGTCCGGAGGCAAGAGCATTGTAGGACTTCGATCCAATAGCAGTAGCAGTTTCAGTATCCTAAATAAAGACAATATGAATCAGCAATGGTAAGCAGGTGGCTTGCAAGTTGCAAAATGAACTGTTTTTTATCTATTATATTGGGAAAATTACAGGGTACTACCAAATTAGTAAGGACCATCCATTCTATTTAATCAAATGGCTAAGAATAAAGGAGATGACCTATTACCGGCAATAGGTCATCCATAACTATTAAATGCATCTTAGTGATTTTCTATTTGAAAGCTTAGCGTAATAGAAAGTAATGTATCTGTAACATGTACATATTCATTTTTTTCTAAAGCGAGGAACACCGCCATTTCGATCAAAAATACAAGTTTACCAACCAGAATCAGATAACGAGAGGAGCGTGACATGGGCAGGCCCATACATAGAGTAACCTACAAACAGATCCAGCGTGTATGTTCTTTTGTTCGTATCACCATTTGTCCGTGTCTACTGTTTGTAGTGAATAATTGCAGAGCTAACACAGAGAATGGATCCAACGTGTCATACAGGTGGGTTGCGAGAATGCAAGATAAATGTTGCAGGTGAGCGTTGAGGAACAAAACTTTTTTTTTGGGTCATATGTAATATAAAATGTGGCAGAAGTGACAAGGGACAAGTCTAACTGCCAGTAGTAGACAAAATTAAATTCAACCCGTGTCGTGTTCGCAGATATTTTGTCAAGATAATGCGGTGGACCTTGCACATTATTTTTTTTCAAACCAAGGATAATCCCATTTCCAACCAAAAAACAGAAAGCTTGCCTGTTAAATTGATGGACACGCTTTGAATTTTGACGGTTTCCTAACTGATGGACACAACCAACCAGTTGCAAATTTTGGTGGTTTCCTAATACCCATATCAGGGGACAACTTCTCTATGTAGATAAAGTTGGTCAGTAATTAACTTTCCTTTTAAGTCTTTCCTAGTGCAACCACGTGAGGGCACCAGCTGCAACCGATTAATTGGAAACTACATTTTAATTGCACTAATCCTTTCAGAAAATGGATAATCTAGGTCTCATGCGCATTGAGTATCTTAAAAGAGATCATTATGTAGACTATACAATTTTAGGCAGACATAAATATCGAACCAGAAGTGAATCAACAACACAGAGGCGGGTAGTCAGAGACTAGGGTATGAATCCTAGACTAACGATCGCTTTGCATAAGATAGTAAACATACCAAGTTCTGGAAAAGCGTGTGTGCCTCATGCGTGCACGTGCACACACACAAAAGACCTGCTAAGCCAATGGCATAACCCAGTTATGGAAACAAAGGGCTTTCTACTAGGACTAAAAGAATCAGTTGTATCAATTAAACTACGAAAAACTAGCTCATAACTATGTCGGATGGTTTAGGCGATGGATTAGAATGATAAAGTGAGTGCAAAATTTAGGAACAAAATGGCATGCACAACTCTAACTGACATCAGCAACATTACAAGATAACACAGGCCTATAGCATTTTTGCTACGTGGAAAGATAGCACACCTGAGGGTCCACTATCCATCCATGGTATAGTGGGATATCCAGAAGATCAAATATAGCACGTTCTCGGGTGAACTCAAAGTCATCAATCCTGCAACATACAGACCCCAGTAAGCATCAAAATAAACATATCATCACAGGCACGCGTAACAAAAAACTGGTCAACAAGCCAAAAACCGATACGCACTTCCTGAACATCACGTTCACGTCAATGCCTGTCGCGAGGCGCGGGAGAAGATCAATGGCATCAGCTACGTTCTGCTCCCGGTTGCGAACATACTCCTCGTCCTTGTCCTATGAATTGCAAACCGAAACCATTAACACACCGAGAACTGCCAGAACCAGCAACCCTAACTACTAGATTCCAGCCCGCAAGTTGCTGCTGCCGCATCCCAACACAACACCATTCCCGCATTGATCGACCCGAATACGAACAACCCGACCGATCTCGCGAGAGTTAGAGCCGAACCTGTACGGCGATGTTGGGGTCGATGAGGCGCTCGGCCACGAGCGAGAGCAACTTCTGCTGCGACACCTCGCCCTCGTCAGGGTTCAGGCTGATCACATTCTTCAGCAGAAGCACGTTACCTGCACAAACGCGCACCGGTGGCATGAACATCGCGGGCAGCCACTAGGCACGCGGCGAACTCGCGAGGGTTCGGAGTCGAACGGGAGGGTGGGGAGGGAGCTCACAGATGGCGAGGAGGGGGCAGGGCCCATTATCGTTCTGGTAGACGATGGGCGTGCGTCGCCCGAGGAAGTCGACGGCCCTCGTCCGGTGCATCACCTCGGGCGGCTCGGCGGGCTGGGGCAGGGGCAGGGGCTGGGGATCCGCCTCCGCCGCGCCGGGCGGGGCCACCTGCGAGGGGAGGTGGGGCGAGGGGTCGGACGACATGGGGCGGATCTCCCACGCGTTCGCTCGACGCGGAAGGGAGGGAAGTCGCCAGAACCCTAACCCTAGGGCGACGCCGCGGGGGTCGCCGCCGCAGGAGGAGGCGCGCGCGCGCGTGCGGTGTCGCCTAGTGGATTGGAGAAGGCGAGGACGGCGGAGAGGGGGAGGGAGGGGAATAGAATAGGCAGTGGGTGGGGGTCGGCTGGGAGAAGGTGGGCGGAGGGAGGGTGTATTTAGCAAAAGAGTAACCGCCTGTGATTTGCAGATTAATCCTTCGTTAGTGAGTTTTATTTGGCTTTGGTGCCTTAGCTTTGAGATTATTCGGGCTTGGGAGGTTTAGCTGAGCCCTATAGCTGAGGCTTGGTTTCTGGGATTTTTGAGGTTAGGGGGCTGCAGTTTCGATTATTAGCCGTGATGTGTAATATTGGAGGAGGAGGTGGTACCCTTGTAGAGAGCATTGCTACTAACACAAAGTCTACAGCAACGCGGCTGCAGCGACTTGCAACTAAACAAACTTAACTAATGCAAGTAGTTTTTCTTTTTTTTTAGAGTAAAAGTACTTTGTATCTTTATCGAATATGTCCATTCGTTTTTAAGGCAAAATGGTACGGACCGATTATTCATATTTTTCTACTACTATAAAAACAACTTCTACACAGGACTCTATGGCTAGTGAGTAGTGGCTTAGTGAAAGACGGTGAGACGCATAGATCAACCTAGTAGTGATACGCAAGCGTGAGAGTGATAGGAATGTCTTAAATGGGTCAAGTGAAGATAAGCAAACCAGTAATAAAGGAGTAACGACAAACGTGGTTCCGACAAAGAGGAATGCCATAAAATACAGTAGGCGGACAAGACGAAGGTGTTTTTGTTCTCAATTATATGACTATAGTGTTTCCATAGGTTTATTTGCTTACGACATTCCTTATCCACAATGAGAACATAGCGAAAACATCCTCCGTTTCGTCGTTAATGTGGTGCAATTAATAAACCTAAGAGGCAAGGAAAGTTCATGTGACTCCTGAACGGTTGCACCGGAGAGCCTTTTGGTGCCTACTGGTAGGAAAATGAAGAGCAATACACTCGGGAGCCTTTTACGCTACGGTTTGCTAACCGAAACGAAGAAAAACCAACACGCAATGACAAGGTGGTACGAGAGTAAACCTTGTTTTTTTATCAAATCCTTTTTGTTAGTTTAAGGTAAGTTAACGTAACTTTGGTTAGTATAGCAGCCCCAACTATGACATAAAAACACAAAACACATGGGTACCATTTCGACAGAGAGCATGTATCATCAAAAGGATTTAGCCGTCGCGCCCGGTGGCAAATGGAAGAAGATCTTTGACAAGGAGTCACTGCAGCTCGCAAGTGACCTTAGCTTGCGCATTAGAGTCTTCCGGTGGCGGAGCGTGAAGCTTAATTAGCAGAGTGGTGCCTAACTAGGAGGAAAAAATGTTATAAGTAGACGCCAAAAGAAGAGAATTTTAGCACTTGAAACATCGATACACCTAGTATTCCAAGATATGTGTCTGATCACTTCTACCTTCTGTAGGCTAATATCTAGAACACAAGTATATCTAGATGCATAGTAAAAAATATATACTTAGAAAAAAAAATAGAACAACTTATATAATTTTAGAAAAGAGAGAGTCACCTTTTGTTTGTGTGACGATGATTAGACGACGATACATAGATACAATGAGTGTTTAGGAAAATTGTTTTGTAGAGGGCGAGGGTGGGTGTGGGCACTGCCCGTGTTGACTTGTGAACATAGCTCCCCAATGCAAGACACCAAGTAGTGGAGCATAAACCCCAGGTGACAACGAACACACGAGCCTAGCTAGTGAAAGATGCAAACGGCAGCACGCACGTATGTCTAGCGACTAGACCTTCTCGAAAAGGAGATGAGACACGACTGTGACGACTTGCCGTCTGGGAGCACGCTTGCTGGACTTCTCCACATCGATCGGACGGTTGGGCACGCACGTCACGTCGTCGTTTCCTTTGTTTGGATGCACGCATCCCTCGCTGGCCCGACTCCAGTCTTTCTTAACGCTGAAGGAAGGAAAGAGGACGCGCTTTCCATCGGGGCGGCCAGCTTGGCGGAGTCGTCGTCGTCGAGTCCAAACGACTCGCTCCTCAGACGTGTCTAGCCAGGCAGCCAGCCCGTATGTTTCCTCTTGGAGCATCCAAAGCTAGTAAGAGAAAATACCAAATCCTTCAGGGGCGACCAAGTAAAAATGCATGCAGCAGTCGCTATCCATTCCCGCCGTCGGACGGCCGCGTCCCGCTCGATCCAGCTGTCCAACGTTAAGGAGCGCGCAGTGGTTGATAGTGGACCGGATCGGAGCGCGCGGCGGCAGCCTGTTCCCCTGGCTGGGCTCGTTCTCTTGTTCGTGAGGAAGTATCGTTGGTTGGTTTGGTGTGAGAGAAAAATACTGTTTTGGTTAAAAATTTACGATCGTTTACGACAAGCACAAGCCAACCGAACAGGTTGATCGTGACCCCGCTTGCACGCGCCATGTCGATTATCTGGTCTGCTGGCGCGAGGATTATGCTTGCCGATTGCTGTAGTGCCCGCGGACGTAACCACGTGACCCGCCGATAGAATGGTGCCTTCCTGCAGCAGGAATGGTACCTACCATGCCGAACAACGCCTCCATCAACACCTTGCCGAATGCCAAACACGATCGGCTCCTCCTTTCATTACAGGGTCTCCTTTTTCTCTCTCAAAGACCCGATCTTATCAGCCGGAAACGTGGGGTCATGGCCATGTTCCTCGTTTCAAAAATATTCATGTTCCCTTCCCGACTTGAAGACAATTACATTTTCACATTATAAAGTATCACCTGAGTTTCTGTTTCCATTATTCCCATTCCCTTTTAAGAACATGACTACTAAGGCACGGATACTCCATCTGTCCAAAAAAAAAAAAGAAAGAGTGTCCCAAAAATAGAAGGAGTATGATTCTTGCTTTTGAGTTTGACCATATCGGTGAAAAGAATACCGATAATTATGTTATCAAATGAATATTACTATTAAATTAATAACAGAGATATCTTTATAGTAAACTTATTTGGAGACATAAATATTAGTACTATATTTTTTTTAATAAAGTTTCCAATTTTTTTTTTTGACTCGGTTTAAATCTAGAGTTATACTCTTTTTTGGGTGGAGGGAGTATGCATACATTTGCCAATTTTGACTACTGTATGTACATGTGCTACACCGGGAGCTGCTAATAAAAGCTACCGCTAAAACGTTTGAAAACACGGAAAGAAAAGCGAAAAAAAAAGATAAAATGATTTGTGCAATGCGATCGTCGTTAATGCACGGCAAAATGCAAGTGTTACACGTGGGCCTTCGAAGAACTGCCAGACCATGGGCCGGTCCAGTCTACGCACTTTCTCTCTTCTCATTGGACGGGCCGTCAGGTAGGAAGCCTAACCCAAAAGCGCCCATTCCGTGAATTACTTACCGCGATGCGGCCCAGCCCAGCTTTTATAACGTGTCGCGGATACTAGTCGCATGCGTGCGCACTCCTCGTCGTCGTCGTCCTGACTCCTGACGTCCTCGCTCGCCCCCGCCCGCAACTTCTCTGCAATTTGCGGCCACCCTCCCCTCGCCCGCGCGGCCCCGACTCCATAAGTCCGAACCGACACCGCCGTCGCTTGAGAGACCGTGCGCACGTGCCTCCTCTCCGGCGCGAGCCTCGCGGTCCAAATGGGTCTCGTCGAGGAGGGGGAGGCGGCGAGGCGCCCGTCGCCCGGCCGAGGTAAACGCGCTGTCCTGCCGCACTCTGCTCGCTACACGCTACTGCGGTATCGCTAGAGGTTGTTTTGGTGGACAGGATAGGCTTCTTCTTCTTCCCTTTTTCTCCCCGATGTGGGTCTCATCTGAATATATATAGATCATCAGTGTGTCTCATCTGAATTATTGTTCAAACGTGTTCCGCTGCAGATATTATGTTTTGTTTTCCCGGTGTCTGAATAGGGAGGATCATATGCTGCATCGATGCATTCCTCGTTGCGAAGGACCGGAAGATCGGTCGTCTCTCTGTAACCAATTAACGAATGCTGCTCTGAAATCCTGCTGTCTGCTCCAATTTTGCTGTAAATCTAGCGTCAGTAGCTGTTAGTTTGCACATCCTCGTATAATAAAGATATTTAAGATACGGTTGCCATGCCAGGTATGTAGCCATGAAGCTTTCCCGGCTTCTCGAATTAGTACTGCATACACTGGCAGAGCTACATTAGGGCCATCCTGGGCGCCGGTCCTCCCTTGCTCGGGATAGATTTATAAAGAGAACCCGTGTCTTGAGCACGCACACTTAAAAGTTGCAACTACGCACACACATCTACATCACTGAATGACCTAGCTATATGCATTCATCTACGCCACGACTAAACTTGCATTAGCTTCTTTTTTATTCTAGCTGCTTTCATCCTGATGATGCTAGGAGTATATTTCAACGCATTATTACAAAACTTAATTAGCATTTGTGTTTAGCTCATCTGGCCGTTTCAAATGAGTGCTGCTATTGTTTCTCCTGTTTGCATGCAACTGTACTATAATATTTCACTTATTAATCTATTACTTTAGTACGTCTATTTAGCTCTCTTGTTCTACTTAAGGACACAATAACAATCAGCAGGAGTTCATCTTGCAACAACTTACACTTATCAGGTAACATATAGTACATTGCATATGCATTACTTTGTCTATTAATATATTTAATTTACCTTACAAACTCCTCCACTAGATTTGTATAGCTGTGTTATATAGAAAGAAGATTATGTCTATAACTAGTGATTAGTCACAAGACTAGAATCGGTCCCCCCTTGAATTCTAACGTAGCTCCGCCACTGACTGCATACACACAGAATGTCTGCTTTTTTTAGCTTTCACTTGGAGAAGTAAGACGAGACACAAAATAATTCTTCTTTTGATCTATTCATAAAGTGTCGGGTTCATAAACCCGGGGTCCCTCATGGACCGGCTTC